TAGATTATGTGCCCGCAATGATGCATTTCTTCCCTTATACTTAAGTTAGGACGTCGAATGTTTCCCCCTTCTTTTACACTCTTGACCTTTGGACCTTTGTCCCCCAGCTTCGACATCCCCAAACGTTCGTTTTTGACGATCCCCCCGCCCGTCCCGAATATCTGTGACCGGTACGTTCGAGCGGTTAAGATTTGTGCCCCAACTTTGACGCCGGAGGACGACGCCACGGACGGATCGGCGACAGACGGACGATCAAGCGAATTCTACAGCTGCATTCTGACTATGGTCAGATCGAGCTAAAAGGAAGAATATTTCATCAATTTTTTTTTATTTATGACAATTGTTTGCTTCGAAACTCTCATCTCGCTCGCCGTCATTTTACTTATAGCACTCCACGTTACAATGCAGAAGCGTATCTTGTCTGAGCATTTGTCTGGTATCGCCTTGATACAATGTAACCACATGTATGCTTTACTGCTTGCAAATTATGCTATGGCCTGCCGCTCCGCTCAGATTTTCGACCTCTGGGCTAGACTGGCTTCGCGGGCCGACTGTTCGTCGCAGGACGTGGTGTGTACATTGTCGATTATTTTCAGAGCGTGAGGCCCTTGGATACCAGTCTAACACAATAATGTGTTGTTGCAGCGAGATAAACGTCGCCCGTGTATGCCGCCGGGTAGAATGCTGCATGTGGTACGTGTTGCCCTCGCTTCGCGGAATTGCTCGCTCTCTTTGAATGAGATTAAGCACGTAAGAAACAAATTATTTTTTTCACATAGACAACTTTGAAAGTTTTAGTGAGCCCCATCGGGCCACCAAATTTTAACTTTTGAAATTTATAGGTGAGCCCCACATCAGTTTGTGGCCCGACTGGCGCCACCGAGCAGGCCACCGCTAGTGTCCTGAGCCTTGGTTAGGTTAGGGTAACTTCTGTAGTACAAGTTCGTACCTTCGTGTTACATATCAGGGGCCGTGTACACGGGGGGGGGGTCCAGGGGGTCCGGACCCCCCCTGCTCGCGCCAGAAAGATATCTGAGGGCGGTCCTAATTTCAAAAAAAATTCTGGGGGCACGGGTCGTATCGCAGTATGGTTACGGTTAGACCCCCCCTGGTCTATTCCTGTATCACACCTGCAGTTTATGTCCTCGGGTACAATTATCTGTAGTATCCTGTTACGACAACGACCCCTTGGCTTGAGCATACATCCCACTTACCGGCACTTAGTAGTTCCGTAGTACTAGTTAGTGACTAGTACGCTCAGTAGTGTGATAGTTACTGCCCTACTGGTCCCTATTGTAAAACGCCCTCAAATGGACGGTACAGATGATACAATAAGTTATTGCCAAACAATATTGATTAGGATACCCAATAATACATCCCTGCCAAACACGTGCACTAAATAGGCATGCAAAATGCGAAACAAACAATTAACAGAAATTGTCCCCGGCGAAAGAGCATGTTTTCGATTTCAACAACATTGCTCACGCGTAGTTAAGGATGAGCATTATGGCGATGGCTAAAATGAAAGGAACAGCTGGCTAGCATGTATACGCTATTTCAGCCATAGACATCTGTCCTATCTAATAATACGTTAGTTAGTATTTCTATGATTTTCAGGCACCACTATCCACTTCTCTATTCCACTTCTTACGTATACTACTGCTATACCACTATATAATGCCGAATTTTAGGGGAAAATTTAGAACCTGCTAATTAACAATAAGCATTACTATCACTCAAGTATATTAAGAAGGCGTTATATCCGTTACCCGGAAAAAGTGCCCGTCGTAAATAGCAGGTATATATCCTATACCCATAAAAATAAATTATTATTAATACCCTATACACATATCTATATAGCGCGCGGCACTTACTTGATATTTGATGGTGAACTCACATACCTGCACATGCGAACACGCACACGCGTAACTACACACTCGCCGCACCCGCGCACGCCGTGCGGTGCACAGCACTCACGCACGCCACACAACACACACACATACACACACCACACACACACACACACACACACACACACCACACACACACAACTACACACACACCACACACACACGTGCACACACACACGCGCGCGGCCGCACACGCACACACACTGCACACCACCACACAAACACACACACACACACACAACACACACAACCACACACCACACACCAACACACACACCACACACACCTGGCGCCACAGCGTTCTTAATTAAAGTTAGAAGCGCAACAGAAGGATAAAATCCTCAGTGCCATAATAAAAGCAAAGCGTTCATAGGCGAGACTGCATGCTAGCAGGGGTCTGGGGCATGCACACACACACACACACACACATCACACACACACACACACACACACACACACACCACACACACACACACAACACACCATCACAGCACACACACACACACACACACACACACACACACCACACCACACAACACACACACACACAACACACACACACACTACACACACACCACACACACACACACACACACAACACACCCTGCTGACACTCTGAACACACACACACACACACACCACACACACCACAACACACACAACACACACAACACACACACACACACACACACACACACACACACACACACACACACACACACACACACTCACACACACACACACACACACACACACATGGTCGTTTCGTCCGCGAGTCCTGGTAGATTCTGGGTGGGAGACGTAACTTCCCGAGGAGAACTTCGGCCACGCCCGAACCTAGTATACGATCACGGATAGAGGGCAAGACGGTGGAGAAGAAGGCAAAAACGTTACAGTAGCGACAGCGGGGGAGGGTGTGGGAGGTGGCGTGTCCCCCCTCCCACACGAGGGAGCTTTTGCAATTTTTACACTAAAATGGAGCGATTTGGTGCATACCCGAGGTGAAATTCTTGCAAATTTTCAAATAAAAAAAACAAGGAAAAAAACACATTCAGTAAAAATGTCTTCGACTATGGTAATGTAATTTGCATAAATATGAATAATAGGAATAAAGAATGTAAACGAAATGCTAAGAGGAGCAAGTACATGAAACATTTTCAGAGAAATAACTGCCATCTTCACAGTGTCACTTTGTTGTTGTTGGGGGGGGGGCACAATAATAAAAAAAAATTGTTGGTAGGGCTTAACGAGGGTGCGAAGCCACGATCAGACAGGGCGAATTCATTGGCTTCATACCATGATAAAAAAAAAGCATGCTTAATTTTCATTTGGAGGTTCAGAAGCCCCCCCAAATATAATGTATATTTCCTCTCTATGCCTCCGGGGGAGGGGGATAAAAGTCTTTGTTTAGACAACTTTCTGCAAATTAAGAAAGACACATCAACACATCAATCAATCCTAAAAAAAAAAAACATCAATTACCATTTCTTGCATTTAATTTAATATGTTGCATTGTACATTGGTCACCAGCTTGTAACCATGAGGCTTGATTGCGGAAACAAGATCATCCAGCTCTTTTTTTCTACGCCCCTTTTCCTGAGTAGTCTGAAGTGACAAATGCACAGCATCTGCTATGTTTGATGGCCGGCGAACCCCCCTGGTTTTTTTTTGCTCGGGGGAGAGGGGCGGGGGGTTCGTGCGAACCCCCCGAACCCCCCCTGGCTACGGGCCTGGCCCTGGAGACCTTGAGGCTTTCAACCACTGTGCCAAGTCCTGGGTGCTGCAGTGGCTAGGCCGAGTGTAGTGCAGTGTATGACCCGAGAAGACGAAGAAGAAGAAGAAGAAGCAGAAGAAAAAGCATAGCGGGGAACCCAGGGCGTGATGCTATGAGAAAATTGAATACTCTAGATTGGATTTTACCAAGCACACATGCTGTGGGCCCGCCCGGCTCCACTTTGAACGTATAAGAACGGCCGAAGAAAATTCTCTTGGCAGTCAACGGACCCTACGGTGACCGACGAACGAGCGACATCTACCTATAATGTAAGCATATAGCAGGGAACACAGAGCGTGATGCTGCGAGCAAAATAGAATATTATAGATAGGATTTTACCAAGCACACCGCTTCTCGGGCCGTCGGTTCCTAGATCATTAAAATGGTCGCGATGCACGTGTTGTGTATTTTATTGCGTTTAAATTTTTTTGTAGACATTCTGATAGATTACCGCTGCGGGCAGAGTTCGCCATCCTTACCTTGAGCGATTATCTCTCGTCTCCGTATTCCATTTACGGTTGTGAATTTTGGCATGCAGATGGCAGCACTTAAATGGACCGAGTATTCAACCACAGTTCTATAAATCTTTATGATTGGTGCGGGAGGGATTACACAACAGATGTACGTCCAGGTTAATGTATTGTGGTTTCAGAGCCGTAGTGGCCGCCACGGCAGCACGGCACTGCCGTGGCACTATTTTGAAAAAAAAAATTCTGGAATGTGTATCTAATATGACAATGTGCCTATTCAAATTCAAACTTCAAAACATATAGATGTACATAGTGAAAGTAAAAATGCAGATTGAAAATAGGCTTATTTTTCATAATTATGTACTGATAGTATTAGTCCGGCAGAAAAGATGGCTTTTTTGCTTGAACCTTGCAATTGGGTATATAGTTTTTTTTATTGCTCTAAAAGTTTGCCTTCATATCAATTGAACGTTTGAATTTTGACACATATCCCCTCCCATATATATGTACTATTACAGTATTATGTAGGTTAAGAATTTCCCTCAATACATGGCTTACGTGATACCGCATGGTGTATATAACATCTTCATTATGGTTAACAACTTACGCTCTAAAATTAGATATATGATCTCATTTTTATACTTAAAATTAGAAGTCAGATTAATGTTTTTTAAATTATTTACCATTACGGCACAGATACCTGTCTAGAAGTTTTTGAGCATAATGTTAGCCTAGAGTAGAAACTGTTTCTCTCTGTCCATATTGCATGTACGTACGCCGTACAAACACAGAAATCGTCACTGCGCAACTTAGTAACATAAAAAATGACTACGAGAGTGGGCTTACGTAACAGCGGGACATTCATCGCACACTTCCCTCTGGGTCATTTGGAACCTGCCTGGACCCATTTGGATCGTCTGCATCTCCTGCCGACAGTTGCACCTTCGCGTGCCGCGTGTCTGCCTGAAAACTGGCTTGTGTCGAGCCACCTGGAAGGTACCCACAAAGAGAACATGTCAGACACCAGCTCCCATCATTGTACTTAATGATAGACAGTGACTTAATTGTAACATTTCAGTAATTGCAAGCCCCCCCCCCACACACACACCGTTGAATCTATGTTAAACTTGCTGACTGTACATGTTTCACCGTGTTTAAAAATCGTCCTCCTGTTAGACACAACAAATGTATGTGTAATGCAGGCTGCAATCGCAACTCGCTCTGAGTGAGAGTTGTTTATTCGGCCAAGCTGCTACACTATCTGTACCTCAACAAAATCGCCATTGTACAACTCTTCTAGGGTGACCTCAAGGTTCATTTTTATGGTTGCACCTCTGGGCACATCATGTTCATCTGGCCGACCACCTTGGAAGAAATCTCCAAAGAAACTAGAAAAATTAAAGAACACATTCATAATTTATGCATCTATTGGTCATTATATTTACATGTATATTTTATAAGTCAAAATTTCGAATTCTAAAAACGTCAGAATGTAGATACCTGGAAAATGGGTCATGACGCCCCACACCATCCTTTAGACCTTCTTCACCATGTTTGTCATAGATTTTGCGTTTCTCAGCATCCGATAAAACCTGGAACATCACACAAGACGAATACCTTTTTAATAATTATAAGTTGAGGAAATTGTGAACCATGTACAAATTTCATTAGATAAATCATTAGTGTTATTGACGGTACAAATTTGTATAATTATACAGGATGACTTGATTATGACAACCAGAAAAATATAGCTCACAGATAACTTTAGCAATAATTGAATTGAAAATACTATTTAAATAATCTCTTCTTGATAATATTATAATATTATTATTAAACAACTTTTACATATTAAGCTACCTCATACGCTGCTCCCAAGTCTTGAAATTTTTCAGTTGCTAAGTCATCACCAAGATTCTTGTCTGGATGCAGAGATTTTGCCAGATTTCTGTAAGCTTTTTTTATTTGGTTAACATTGGCATTTTTGGGCACCCCTAAAATTCGATAAAAATCTCTCCTGGAAAAGAAAAATTTCACAGAATAAGTTACATCAATATATAATCTAGCCTGTATAACTCATGAGCCCCTCCCAGGGGTTTTAGGGAATAAGGGAACAGGAGCATTAACTTTCAGGGAACAAGGGAAATATTGGCGAATTATTTTCAGAGACAAGGAAACTGCCGATTAGATTTTTGGGAACAAGGGAACTCTGATTTTCCATCTTTGTGATTTTTTTCAGCCAGCGCAAGCTAGCAGTAGGGCGAGATTCCTCTGACCAATGCCCACGCCGACGGCGGACCCAGCTGGAATCTCGGACTAGGGCGATAGGTGCATTGTTAACACCGGCAGCGTTGAACGTCTTAAGTTTAGCTTCTTTGTTTCGATCTGTCATTCCGTATTGAAATTCCCTCCCTTCCTCTTTAGTAAATAAAAAATTTGATGCTTTTTCTGCTGCAATGTACAGTGTTGATCTGTTTATTTGATCAAATTTCTGTCTTCGATATAATCCCTTGGATTTTGAAGACTAGTTATATTTATGAGGTTATCAGGGTTCTCCAAGCTTTTAAATTATAGCATGGGGGTGCTACTCACTGCTAGGGGGGTCCGGGGGCATGCCCCCCAGAAAATTCAAAATAATTAATGGAATAAAAATACCAAAATGTAGGGATGAACTTGCTGGTTTGCTGGTTCCAAATCGAGTTCACCTCTCATAAATAAATATAAAAAAATTTGTCACCATTGACAATGGCAGGAGTGGTCGGTAAGTGTACAGTATACTCTACCTAGTGTTAGACTGGGTTACCTGCCCCGTAATAATGCCGTTGGATATTAATTCACGATTTAATTCACGATTAAGATTTCTTGATGAGCTAGAAAACACTCGGATCTGAAGTATGAAAATGAACATTATTGTGCCAGCTAGCCTACACCAGTTGGTTGGGATTGATTGTCAGTTCAGATGCAAAATATTTAAAGCAAAAGGTTATACACCATAAATTAATTTTGGTACTATAACACGCGTATATAAGATAGCCGAGTCAGTTTAGAGTTAGTGTTAGAGTTAAGGATAGGGATAGGGTGACCGTCGTACCCGTAGCATCGAGACCAACGTGTATTAATTGTTTGAACTTCTTGTGTATACACCAGCATGGCGGCTATGATATTTAGCATGGCGGGTGCATTTTAGGATGGCAGGGCTCGACGATAGCCTGGTGGGCCGCCAGGCTATAAGTGCCCTTGGAGAACCCTGGTTATGTCTGAGGTTATGCGGCAATGCTCGGAAACCAAGTCAACAGTGTAATTTGAAAACGTTTCTTCAACTAGCTAGATAGTAACTATAGACTAGTAACTATAGCCCACGTGCAGTTGCCGCAGGCCTGCGGCTTGCGCCTGCGGCCACTGTACGCGGGCTAGTATAGCTAGATATAGCTAGTTTTCTCGGCGTGTACTGTAAAAACTGGATCTCTAAATGTTGTAACTGAATCCCCCGTGACACGAATGACCACGTAGGCCTACACAGAGCCCTGTACCTGTGCCATTGAGAGCGCACCGCACGATAGAAACGACAGACATCGAGTTAGAGACCAATTCAATGGGAATACGAATGATAGTACTACTACTACTACTAGGGTAGCTCTAGTAGTAGTAGCTATAGCCCACGTACAGTTGCCACTGGCGGCAAAGTTCTGTACGCGGGCTATAGTTACTAGAGCTACTAGTACTACTAATAGTACTACTACTAGGGTTACTGTAGATACAATAATGTAACCCAAACCCAGGATAGGGTTACAACGCGAGTCTATGGTTTTCTGTGGAGGAACCCCTGAGTGAATCACTCAGGGCGGTTTGCTGGTGCGTTTTCAGAGACTAGAACTTCCAAACTGGGTTTATTCTAAACACGAACCTTTCTCCGCTATCCTGGAACTTACTATGTATCACAATACTCTGTATTAAACTAATATCACCTGTTACAAAAATTCGAAGTGACGAGCGGTGGATATATTGAGCGCCATTTCTGTTGACCTGTGACGTACGCATTCCCAATGCGCATAGCGATCGGCAAACGCAGCGCCCTCCGATTGGTCGGTGAATCCGCTCTTCAAACCGAAGTACGTCACAGGTAAACAGAAATGGCGCTCAATATATCCGCCGCTCGTCACTTTAAATTTTTGTAACAGGTAATTATATTAGTTTGATACAGAGTATTGTGATACATAGTAAGTTCCAGGATAGCGGAGAAAGGTTCGTGTTTAGAATAAACCCAGTTTGGAAGTTCTAGTCTCTGAAAACGCACCAGCAAACCGCCCTGAGTGATTCACTCAGGGGTTCCTCCACACAAAAGGATAGGGACGCTTTGTAACCCTACTCTTGTTGGGTTACATTATTGTAGGTAAGACAGGAGTAAGATAATATAGAATTCTATATTATCTTAGTATTCTTACTCCTGGTACTAGTGCTGAGAGGGTCTATGCCCCCCGGGGTACTGCCGGAACGTACCCTGGGTACGGTCTGGTATACCGGAACGTACCCTGGTACTATCTAATATGCCGAACCGTACCTTTGTCTACTCCACTAACGAGTCTAGGGAGTCGCCTACGCCTACTCCCTATTAAACCCGAACCCGAACCCTAACCCTAATCCTAACCCTAACCATATCAAATAGTGACCAGGGTACGTTCCGGTATACCGGACCATACCCAGGGTACGTTCCGGCAGTACCCTGGGGGATATAGACCCTTTCAGCAGTAGTAGTCAGCTAGTAGCGCAGAAGGGTCGTCTGTCGTAACACGTACTACAGATATGTCCCCGAGGTAGTTTAGGTTGTTTAGTATTATGTTTATATTTTTTATATGCCCCCGTATGTTTAGGGTTTATGGTTTAGCGGTTAGAGTTAGGGTTAGGGTTAGGGTTAGGATTAGGGTAGTGTAGGGCAAGGCCGACACTAACTTATTTTTTTCTAGTGGCCCGATCGGGCCACCAAAATGCATTGATTTTCAATTTTTGGTGGCCCGAAAATGGAAATCTGGTGGCCGAAAACCCAAACAAGAAACATTATAAATCTTCTATTTTCAATCTCGCTATTCGTATATTATTTGACCAAATTGGGCCCCCGCCTCTGATGCACTTGCACAACTCTCTTAGCAACCAACCCCCACACAATTGGCCACACACTCGACATTGATGAATTGAGGCATACACATTTGAATTAATACATTCCACGGCAATCAAATTTTCACACGGCAGAATCTTGCATACCATTTTCTACTTTCCGTCATTATTTTATCTAACACCNAGTACTAGTAGTAGTACTAGTACTAGTAGTAGTAGTAGTAGTAGGCTAGTAGTACTGCCTACTGGTCCCTATTGTAAACGCCCTCAAATGGACGGTACAGATGTTACCAATAAGTTATTGCCAAACAATATGATTAGGTACCCCAATAATACATACCCTGCCAAACACTGCACTAATAGCATGCAAAATGCGAACAATAATACAGAAATTGTCCCCGGCGAAGACATGTTCGATTTCAACAACATTGCCACGCGTATTAAGGTGCATTATGGGATTGGTAAAATGAAAAGAACAGCGGTAGCAGTAACGCTATTTCAGCCATAGACATCCTATCCAATAATACGTTAGTTAGATTTCTATGATTTCAGCACCACTATCCACTTCTATATCCACTTCTATATACTACTCTATACCACTATATAAATGCGAATTTGAGGGAAAATTAGAACCTGTATTAAAATACAGATTACTATCACTCAAGTATATAGAAGCGTATCCGTTACCGGAAAAAGTGCGTAATAGCAGGGTATAGGCCTATATCCTACTATATCCTAATATCCTACTAATAATATATACCTATATCCCTATATATATATATATATACCTATAATATATACCTATATCCTACTAATAATAATAATTATACCTATACACATTATAATCTATATAGGGGGCCTATACTTGATATTTGATGGTAAACTCACATATGCACATGCGAACACGCACACGCGTACATACACACTCGCGCACCCGCGCACGCGTGCGTGCACACACGCACGCACGCACGCACACACACACACACACACACACACACACACACACACACACACACACACACACACNGAAACCCAGTGAGGGTTGAACGGTTCAACCTCGTTGTTTTAAAATTAGACGCAAGTTTTTGCGCAGAACTAATTAATCTCAAACTCCAAAGAAACTAAACGAAACCATTCTACTGCCACACCAATATATTCAAACACATCCGCTTTATTTCACAATAATAACGTACGATATACAAAGAAATCGATATTTCCAAACCGGAATGTGAATTACATAATCAATAACTGCCATTATGAGCAAAGTTAAGACTCGATCACAGCTCCCGTACATATGCATATAATTTTATATATATATATATATATATATATTTATATATTCAAGAGTAGATAACTGGAGAAGAGTATGACACCGTTTTAACAGCGTTTTGCATAGTTTTCTACTTGAAAATATTCTATCAATATGTGAATAAATACATTCAAACTTTACCTTATTAATGTTATCGGCTATGATTCTCCCGTAATCATATGACACCACCAATTTACCTGAAAAT